GGCTTTAGCCGGTCTCCTCCCGTGACTAGCAGTAGCTGACATCAGAATAAAGAAAAGTAGTACGCAGCCCTCTCCCTCGGAAAGACAACTAGTCTCTTCTACCACATCCGTCCCCTTCTCAAAATCCAGCAGATATTACGAGGAACTTAAAAGAATTTAGCTTCTCTTCAGCTTCTTTAAGCAGTGATTATGGTAGTTTCCCCAGGTTGGGAAACAAACCTATATTAAGGCTCATAGTGATAAAGCATCTTACTCCGTTTCCTGATGAAAGAATTTTTTTACTCCCGAGATTTTGTTTACCGTAGAATAGGTCTTGGCCAGGAGCTGCAGGCAGGAATAAGAGTGTTCCGAGGCTGAATGCAGATGATAAGCAGCTCACCACGTGCAGTCACTGAAAGGGTTTTGCTGGGCACTGTGGTCCAAAGTCAGGGGACAGACCTGAACAGATTTAGGTGTGAATTCTGATTTCGCATTACTGCTACCTTGAAAATTTACCTTGTAGTTGCAGCTGAATTACTTTCTTGTGCAAAGTTGCTCTATTCTACTTTCACCTATGGCCACGTTGCCATGGCAAAGTCACTCCTGCATGTGTATGTTTTAAATACATAACTTACAAAGCACTTTGGATTCCTTTGACATGGTAGGCATCTATTTTCCAGGTGATTTTCTTGTTTTAGGTACAATCTGTAAAACAAATGGAGAACATGCTACCGGTAGGCCAGTTCCTATTTCCACAACAGCATCGCTAAAAGCCTATGTACACGTGTTGCGTGTCACACATGTGAGTACTCTTTAAGCACATGCCTTTTTATAGGATCAAGCATTTACATAACATGTCTTTGGTTTCGTGCTGTTACCACGCTGCGACATAATTCCTTGTGGTTTTCATAGCAAGTATAGAAAATTAAATTATAGCAGCCTTTGGTCAAAAACAAGAACAGTACAGATTTTATCCTTCACAGTATAACTTATCTAAATAAGCTATAGCATTATTTATTTATTTATTCTTGTATTAACACAGATTTCCACTAGCTTGTCACAACGACCAAACATTTTTTACTTTATATGTCTGTGAATAAATACAAAGAAGTCAAATTAGATGGGTAACGCTCTGAACGTGCACATTCATCCTCTCAAAATATTAGCCAGAGAGCTCTTCAAAATAGCAATTATTCAAAAATTGAAAATCAGGTTACATATTGCTTACCTCAAGCAGATTAGCAATGTTCTTTCGTTTATTTATAAGGTACTCTGGAAGCACCTTTTCACGCTACGAAGGAAGATTCTGGCAAGCAGCAAAACGTGAAAAGAGGGGTAGGTTGACTGCTGCAAGTTGCAGAACTATTTACCAGTACAGATCCATGCTTTTTTTTTCTTTTGTTCTAGGGATTTTCATTACCAGAGAACAACAATCTGAGTTGAACGTTTGCAGAAAGAGAAAGGGTGTAGAAGTCATCTGTGAAATTGCTGTTTAACGTTATAATGCAATCAACACTGGCGATGAAGAAAGAATACATATAGAAGTACAGGTGCTATTCTGGGTGCCGTTTGCTTCCAAGGCGTGCCCATTGGGAGTACATCCCTTTCTCTTTCCTTTTTAATGGGTTCAAATACATTCCAGAGCTTAGAGAAAATGAATGCCGTCCAGATAGCCAATTCTGGATGCTGTACCATAGAAAATCTATTTAATATATGCAGTATAAAACCTAATGCTATATGGTAGGTTTTACAATAAATGGTAGGAAATCCATTATTTTCAGCTACGGTAGCACTTCTTTAATCTACACTAGAACAAGTGCCATTTTTTGTAATGATAAAGTTCTTTTACGTCAAGGCTGGTGACAGTCAAATTATTCACATGAACCAGATTCAAGTTACCGTGTTGACTTTTGTGAGCCCTGAGGAATTCGGCAAGTAGCCCCTTATATCACAAGTAAATAATTTATTTCTTAACATGAGTCACGCATTCTCTCTCTCAGAAGAGACCATTAGCTCTGCTGTTCAAAGCCATTTTTCTGCTGGGAGTTTTTCATGAGTAATAAGGCGGTTTACAAATTCAACATCATAAACTAGCACAGCGCAGGAACAGCAGCGAACTTCCTGAGCCCACTTCTTAACACCTTCTGAAATCTTGATGTTGGGTGCAGCATAAGGACAAGATGAGCACACAGAGCAGTCTCTTTACGTCTGGGTCACTTTCAGTGGTTTACAGGGAGGAGCATGGGAATAAAACACCTTTTAGAAAGTAGTCAAGACAAAAATCATACCACTTCGAGAAAGACACGGACAGAAAAATTAAAGGAAGGATACTGGCTAGTAACAAGCTCTACCAGTTCTACAGATGTACTAGGACATTAAGACCTGTAGAGGCTACTGGCAGCAGGACTGGAAGTCTGCGGGGGCACTGACACATACATGTGCATCTTCAACCACCAAAGGATGACATGAAATCCAAGGAATTTAAAGTGTCTCCAAAACTAGTATTAAGTACAGCTTTTGTTAAGAATAGGTTCATTATTGTAATTATTTTCCGTGTCTATAAATGTACTTACTGTAGCTATTTGTGTGCTGCAGGAAAGGACAGAACTTCACCTATAAATAGTTTAGAAAAGATGGACAGAGTGTTTTTGAATGTAAGAACGTTTTCTCTTCCTGTGTTAGTTTAATGGGATAGATGCCAATGCTTTTATGAATTATGAATGCAGCAGTCTTTCCAAATGAAGATGTTGGAAGTCTGCCAGCGGAGCGAGGTGCTCATATTACATACTGCCAGCAAACTTCTGTTTCTTTAATGAAAACTAGATTACTAAATCACTTTTCTTTTGCAAAACATTACTCTTGCCTATAATGATGTTGCACAGCATATTCTCCTCTAGAATAAAAGAGAAAAAAATAATCAGGGTAGAAAGCAATTTGAATCACAGTTCTAACAGGGAAATTCATACGCTGTGCTCCTGATGTAAATAGCTGTTTGTCCACCACCTACCTTCCTCCTTCAATAAAACATAATCTGGGTTTATGACTGATCAGGCATTTGTTACTAGTGCTATGCATGGTTTTTTTCCCCACAACGATTCTCTTTTTAGCTACCTGAAACAAAGCAAATCTTTAAAATAATTTAATCACCAAGATTTTTAATGGAAATCTTGCGGGAGGAAACTTTGCTCCCTACTTAGGAGCCAAATTTTGCACTTAAATAAGATTCAGTTTCTGTTTCATAAAGAACGTAGTCGCATTATGGAAAGTTTGGGGTTTTTCCCACTCCACTGAGTGAACCTAAGTCTCAAGAACACTTTTAGAAGACGGGAAAGTATTAGCCTACGACCTTTGACAAATCTGGGGGTCAAATATTCAGCATGAAAAAGGGTCAAAGAAAGCCAGTGAGGCTGCACGGCGTCTGCTGCACAGGTTACACAGCAGCCAACGGCGCCACAACTGCTCTTTGCCTGTGTATCAGCAAACTGCAACGTTACTAACGAAACCCATGGAAAACGTGTTTCATTTAATCATATGTACATATTGCAATATACTATAGATACCTTCACGTTTTGTGTTCACAAGCAATTGTTCCCATCTTCTGCTAACATCTAGAAGGATTTTACAAGGGGATGCAAATCGCTGTTTGTCTCAGGTCATTTTAGTTTAATCGGCAACCCTTTCTATCATTTCCAAATCTGAACCACATCTCAGACCTCCTGCGGTGGTATTGCAGGTTTCACAGTAGCATCTCAGAGAAAAGGTACGAGTTTTCTTGAATAACAGCTCTCCCTCCATTGTTTTTCTTTGCAATAACTCAGTATACAGCATGAAGACTGTTACTTCACGCCAAAGGCTCATTTATAAGGATACCCTCTAGCTTCCAATTTGCATGCACATTTATTTTACGTTACCTTACAGTTAAAAGCCCCAACAACATAATAAAGGGTAATCAGAAGGGAAGTGCACAGAACAATAAATACTACTGAAATCATATTAACTCAGAAAAACATGAAAAAGGGAGAGAACAAAAAGAAAAAAAAATCTGACGTGATAAAAAGCAGTGAAATTAGGTTTAAAAAAGCTGTGGCAGAAGCTCTCTGGGATTGTAAGCACTGAAATGCACTTGTTAAAAAAAGCCTCGAACACACAGTCACGCTGTGTAACCCACCTGGTTATATTTTACAAACGGGGTGCCGCATCCAGTCAACTTTAGTGTTAGGCAGGCTTTGCACCCATGAAAATTAATGGTAATGCTCTCTATGACATTAACAAGAACAAAATTAGGCCACGTAAGTACCTTCTGATTTTTCTATAAGGCAAAATACCACTGCATTCCATTTTCTACTCTGCATTTCTGCGAGTTGATAGTATGCTTGCATGATTAAGACATAAAGCTAGTAAATGTTTTAATCCAAATATTATTACAAACTAGAGAGAAGTCAGATAAAACCAGAGATCTTTTATTGCACAAAATAAATTATATAGAAACAATGCAACAAAACAACTCGTATTGTAGACTACACAACAGATGTTACAACATGAATATATTTATTGCTTTGAGAAAGGAGCAATTCAGTGCTAGTAAGCAGATTAGTTATACTTCTTGCTCGTCTAGATTTGTCATAAAATTAATCCAACTGGGCTAGAGGCATCTTGCAGCATACGGGTCAGACCAAATCGTCATTTGTTATCAGCTGTTACAAAGGTGCTGTGAACATTCTTGACATTAGCATGAAGCACTCAATTTAACATCACCGGTACCGAGCCATACAGGTAGTTACATAATTAGAAATATCATTACATATCAGATATATTTACACACAAGATTCTAAAAGGTCCATTTACAGGGTTTGCACGAGCTGTTCTAAAACAAATCTTGCTTACAAGTGTCGATGCAGCTTTGAACAGGCATGCTTCACTCTACGTCAAGAGGCAGGACCACGGGGGTTTGCAAAAAAAGAAAAGGAAAAAACCCCAACCAAACAGCCCCCCAACCCCCAAACAGCCCCCCACCCCCCCCCCCAAACCCAAAAACCCTAGTACCAGCACTTCCCTTACTTAATTGTAAAGTTGCTCACTAGTGCTAACTCAGTTACAGGCGTCTCATTTTTCCAGGGCCACACCCAGCTTCGAAGGATTTTAGCGCAGATTAAAAAAACCCCATTCCTTTGGTAGAACTGGGTGAAATTTACAGTGCTTTTTTAAATACTTCAAAACACAACATATTTGGTTCTTTAAAAGATACAAGACTGCAATACTGGTATTGCACTCAGCTCAAATGGATTTATGTTTTTAAACTGCTACTTTGTGGACCCTGAGATGTTGACCCCCAATGAATTAATACAGAAATTAGCTCTTAAAAATTATAAAAATAGACAATATTCAAATAAGAAAACACATCCAAACCTGATCACTTGCAGATCTTTGTGAAGCATGCGGATTAATGAGACAGTGGCATTACAAGTGTTCATAGTCTGAGTGAAATTCTCTCCCAGTTTGACAATTATGCAAGTATTTACTCAGCTGAGTTTTAACACTGAATTCTACTGGTAGGGTACACAACTCAATGTCGGAAAACTTATTTATTTACGGGAAGGTTAATATAATGAGATTAAACAATATTAGCCACCCACGTAAGGGAATTCGGTGAGGAAGTGGGAACTCTGGGTCGTTTCAAGTTTTAGCTACAAGGATGATTAAAGAAAGTAGCTCCACCGAGGGCGAGCTGAAGAGCTTAACTCGGCATCAGGCCCACGGAGTAGACCCCTGTAGAATCCCACTGAAATAAGTAAATAGATTTTGGATTGTACGCTAATAACTACAAAGGTGGTCACCACTCTTTACCGTACTTTAATAAAATTCTTTGCTTTACTGTTTGTTTTTTCCTCCTGAAACTGTGTTAATGCGCTATGTTGAATCAACATACGGTTAAGAGTGAGGTTTCAAACAGCTGCAAAATATAACAAGAAATGAGTTACTCTGAATTTAAAAAATACTATTTGTACAAATGCTCAGAAACTTTAGTGATGCAATCATGTTCCATGCATGTACCCAGCAGTAGATTCCTTTGGAGGAAAGTAAGTATTAAACTTGACTAACCTGGCATACTTTTTCATCCAGGGAACGGCTTTTTAAAATACCGTACATAAAATTCTGTCACCATTTTATAAAAATGTCTATAAGTATAATAAAATTCAACTGAATAAGCAAATATACCCTGAAACATCCATTAAAACACAAACATCACAAAAAAATTATTAGTATTTTTTATAATCAAGTGGAAATGTTATAAGGCAGGATGAAGCTAATATCAAAGATGAAAACCAGCACCACCAGTCTACGTTTTGCAATTATCTTCCTGATCGGACAGAAAATATATTATCATAGTCAGATACAATTGATTAAGTTAAGGTAAGAAATGCATTTAGCCCAGCTGTACTAACTATACAGCTTCACACAGAATAAACATTCCATAAATCAACAGAAAATGCATTTGAGCACAAAAAATAAAAATATGTAAGTGATTCTCTAAGCAGCATTTTGTTTTCTTTTTTTCCAAAACATTAACATAGATAGATATTGGACTGATTAAATATCTACAAGTGCTTTTCCTTTACAAAAATACATATATTCTTAATAGTAGGATAGACTGTCATTAACAATGACCTGTGTTTTTTTCACTTCAATTTGAATGATTTATAAGCTAAATTTTACAACCACAAAAAGGTTTATTTGTAATATGATGTTATCACTTTTGACAAAAAGCTTAAAACATTTCATATTTTAAAACAAATTAGCAACATAACATCACAATATGTTCTATGAGCTCCTAAGTACTGTGAGGGCTGTTATATTAAAAACTGGTAACCACTGATCAAATGCAAGGAAGCATTAGAACATTATTACTGCTCACCATAGGCTCCTTTCTTACCATAACTTGGATCACAGCTTATATAAGGACACTTAGGCCCCCATCCCAAAAAAAAAATCCATTGAGAGTAACTCTATATCATCTATTCAGTAGCCTGGAACATCCAACAATTCAGGCTTTGCATTAATTTTAAAAAAATGCAAAATATTTTCCTTTCGATAGTTAAGTCTGCAATAAGGGAAAAAACCGATGCATTGCTTCGTGTTTATTCTAAGAAGCTTGCATTTGAGAAAAAAAAAAATACGATCGGTAAGTTTTTAGAATGAAATATTTCAGTCAGCTAAATAATTAAATTGTCCTATTACTTTCCAGTTTAGTTAATCACTATCCTGGCAAAGGAAATCAAGATATTTGGATTTCTTTATTCTTTCCGTTTTATACTGCACAAGTAAAATAATCGACTTCTTGCTAATCAATGGTCTCACGTCAAGGACAGCAATGCCATTTGCTAAAAAAATATCTATAAAAATCTGTAAAACATACTTAATATCTTCTCATTATCCTCCAAGTCTGTCCTTTCCACCCTCCAAAATATCACTGAACTACAACTAGAAAACCCAACAGTAGCTTGGTGAATATTTTGTGCTTTGGAAGGTTTACAGGATTGACAGCACACTGAAGTTTTTTATTAGTTCACAGGCCAGGTATAGCAGACACATCAGTAACGCAAGCCTTTGTGCTTTTCTTCGTGAACATGAGCTATGACTCAAAGAGCTACTCTAGGTCTGTTAACGCAACCTTTATGCTACTCCTGCTGGTTTTTTCCTTTTCTGTTTTGTTTTGGAAACTGCTGGGTGTGCCTAACCCTTTAGCTTGGTGACAGACAGCTACCACCAGTTAAGTTCTGCTTGACTGATTCCAGGTGTAACTCTTGACCACTGCACTCCAGAACAGTGTCAATGCCTTATTCCAAGTCAGTTTCTGAGTGGCTTTACCTTTGGTATGACATAGGTCCCTTAAAACTATTAGGCAATCAGATTATCCATAAAAATAGTTTATTTTAAAAAAAATTATGAACAAACTAAATATCTGACAACAAAGAGTAATTTTAAATCAATTAGTATGTGGTATTTTTCAGTAAAAAGGGAGCATGTTTCATTTTACCGCATCAAAATTCATGAGACAACAGCAACAATGTCTACTATACTCAATATAATACAAACCAGAATTTTAGGAGTAGAATACCACCATAAAATATGTGCCTCGCACTTTGATAATAAACATCTTTATTACAACTTCATTTATAATACAAACCTCAGTATGTTAACTAGCAGCACAAACGTTTTACTGCTGCAGCAATTTTGTATAGCAACCTCCTCTCAACTCTTACTTTGCTTTCCACTCGCTGTCATGAGGAAAAAGGAAAATGCGCAGTAACTACTTCTGTTCACCTCATCCTGTCAACTGTCACACTATTAAACCTTGTTAGAAGCGTTTGCTAAAAATACACGTAAAAGTTACTTCAAAGAGAAGTATGCCTAATGGTTCAGATAAACATGCAAAGTCAAACTAATGCCTCTCTTTGCTTAAAATTAATGTAATTACAAAAAATTCCACTTGCAGACATCTTTCATTCCAGAATGCCTCCTCCATCCTGAGCCTACAGAACTGGGTCTCTTTCTGCAAGTACAAAAGGTAGCCTGGATCTTTCCACCCATCTATAGAGCTCCTCCGTTTCACTGCCACACTCCAGAACTGCACGGACCTAAATTGCTTACTAGAGAATGAAACAACGTCCTTACTCAACTGTAGGAGCAAGCTACCCAAATTCAGAAGATTTATGGCACGTACCTTGGATGGAAGAATGTGTCAGGAATTCATTAATTAATCGATTTCCTGTTCTAGAATCTGATGTTTTAATCCGATCTACAGACAGCATAGACAGTAGTTTAAAAAAATAATTCAACAGGTAGAACTGCTTATGAAGAAAAATGTATTACCATTCTAAGATCATCTTTTGGAGGACATTCCTATAGAAAGATGTTTCAGTTGGGGTCTGAAGGCCAGACTACCCATATGTGATAAAACTAGTGGTAAATGAGCAGTTGGAAGCTTTTCACATTTCCTTTAGGGTGAATCAATCCCCTTGTGTCTTGGTATCCATCCTGGAACATGCTCCAGTAGACTGCAATCCTTCCTCAACCAAGTGTCTTTAGCTGAACACCTTGTGGAAGCATTACCTTGTTCAAACTGGCTATAAAGGATTCAGAATGCAGAACTGTGAGAACTGTACTGAAATCCATGAGAGCTGCCTGACAAACCAAACCTGTGAGCTGATTCCACATGTGCAATTTCTCCTTTATAACTCCTCAATGTTTCTACTTGTTGGGCGTGAAATGGGGTGGGGTATGAGAATGGGCGAAGGATGTGTCAGAACCTAGATTAATTACAGGACACAGGGTGCCCGAATAGACTTTTTAACTGAGATAAATGATAAAACAACATAGCATGAAGTAAAATGAGAAGGGAATATCCTGCACGATATATGTGTTTTCGATGGAATCAAACAGATGCCTTCAACCTGCCTAGGTTAAGTGAAGAAACTGGACCGAGCTCTTGATTTGAGCATCTCTATGTTTATGTATTTGCTGTGGATAGGCATACAAGTCTTAACTGCCTTCGCTCTTTTCCAGGATAAAAACAAGTTTCATCGGTCTATGTAACTGACCAGTATTTTATCTAGCCCCTCTATAAATGGGGCTCAGTCTGTTTATTTTGAGACTTAAGACTGGCTTTGAACAACTGTCTGTTCTCTAATATTTCTACCAGACATAGTACCTGGCTGAGCTGGATGCTATTCCTTTTGTTGCAAGTCCTGCCAAGAATATTTTTTTCTGGGGAGTGAATACCTCTTGGTATCTTCAGTGATATGAAAATGTAAAAAAACCAGAAACGGAACAATACAACTCAGTGATTGGTTCAATTAAAAGGACTAAACACTGTCCTATTTTGTTATTTCAGAAAACAGCAGAGAAGGAAAATTGTTTATTTCTCTCACAAAGTCACATCTAACAATTATACATGGGAGAGATGAGATGGAACTCTGGACCACCACTTTGTCTGCAGCGGAGGACAAAAGCCTAGCTTATATCTAAAGGGACTGTGATCAATCTCTTTTCTCCTGCAGATATACTGGAACTGTTTTCGACAACTGCAGAAGAGAAAAGTCACGTCAAATTGTTGGAGCCTAAGGAGAAAAAAGACCAAGATCCAGAATTCAAGGGTTCCTCACGCAGAAAATGAAATAATTTCAATATAAAAGTAATTCTTTTCATATAGTTTCTACTGATAGTTTTTTTCAGTTTTAAATTATCTAACAAAACACATTTCTTTTTCTGTGTTTCCCATGAAAGAAAGCTTCTCAATACAGCATGTTTATGAAATATTCTTGCTGAAAATATTAAGACCGTAGATAAAATACAGAAGCAAATATTACCTGCCAAATGCAAATAATGGGCTTAAAAGGTATTCTGTATTAATAATCAGGCACTTTGCTTTATATAACATTTTCAGTAAAGTCAAAATAATACTTTTTAGAAACTTTTTTTGCATAACAACTGCAAGCTAGCTGAGTATGCACAATATATTACAGCACTGCATACTCCTAGGATCCAAATCCCAGAAGCTTTCATATGAACAGTACCTACTATAGTGATGAGTCACTTAGATTATTGTAGTAATCTTATTTGGTATTTCATCCAAATAAAAATATGCTTTAGGACTAGGCCCTTAGCTATGAGCAGTGTAGTAATGCATGATGGAAGATACATTTCTTGATTAATCATCTAATTCCATATTGTTTGAGATATAGGATCTCACTTGTAAAATCTAGCTTACAGTTTGTTACTAGACAAATGCAGCATACAGCTATGCTCAACAGAGTTGCTTATGACTTTCATTAATGAGTTACCCCAGAGTTAAAAGCAGATACAAATTTTTCACTTTTGGGGGGGGAGAAAAAAGGCACCAAATGTGCTAAATAAGAGACAACACGGTTAGGTAGTAGCGCGAAATTTTTTAGGTCTTATTCCTCTGCAGCTAGGCACTGCCGATACGGGAAAGCCATAGAAACACAGTGGCAGCAACACTTATTTTATATTCCTATTCTTTACAAACATGCAGTGGTGACACTTTGTCATGGAAATGCTCAGAAAGTGTGACTGTACACAGCAATCTGCTCTAGGATGGCATATTGTGCAGTTTTAATGGAATGCTTAGGTACTCATTTCACTTTACCCCATCTTTGGCACACAGGAATCTGTACACGCATTCTCATATTCCTATGCTGTTCAGATGATCTTAATTGGCACAAACGAATTAAATACGCATATCTGTAGACACATGGCACATAGGTACTATAAGGGAGAGAAATTTCCTGTAAAGAAGGCTATGCCTGTGTTATACAAGCTGCCCAGTTAAGATATGTATTTCACTGGCACTTCACTGCTACAAAAACTATTAAACTATAACGGCACTCAGGCACCGTGCCATCAAATCAGAAATGCATAAAGTGTAGGTGGCTAGATCACATGCATTTAATGCCATGATTCTCGGCTGGGAACGTTAAATCGTATCCGTCTGTATTTTCCATGCTTAAAATGAAGATTTGCCTCCTGTAATCCAGCTTTAAGTTGCATCAAGAAAATACCACGAATTAAACCAACGTCCAATTCTGATCGAGTGGATTCACGGCTCTCTGAATTGTGAATACAGAAAGTCATTAAACAGTAAAATCTTCTATTACTTGCCATTCAGAAGCCAATACAAAGCAGTCCTATTTCAGGGGTCCTGTTAGGTGGATGCAAACTTCTGTGTAAGATAACTTCAAATGGATTAAAAATAACGCGGTGTTCTCTTTTTAAAACAAGTCTGTTCAAATTTGTCAAAACAGCAAGCGCAACTGTTGAGAAAAAAATTGTCCCCTGAACCGAACAGAAATTATGCTCAAGTCTACTACCATTAGTTTTGTGATAAACTGAAACAGGCGTTTTACGTCAAGTGAATCTACAGTGAAAATTCTGGTATAAAAACACGTGAAATATATAAAAACTGTAAGGTGTCATTTGTATGTGCATGTAAATGTTTACAAATAATATCCTATTTCTACCGTAGAAAACAGCTGTATATACTAAAGAGAAGAATGATTTGCAGTTAGAATGCATGCTCTGCTTTTCCAAGCTGCTCCATGAGGAGGACCTCTATATACACAAAGAATCTATTTTTCCCTAGAGACGGCAGAGGGGAAGGGCCCTCCCTACGTGGAGCATCTTCTCGTTTCTGTCGAGTAGCACATCACAGACTGGGTGGGCAAAGACCGCTTCCTGCAGCCAGCATGTACGCCCCTTCCCGTCTACAGTGTGGGCAAACCAGTGCCTATACCAGCCAGCACGCTATGCCTGCAGAAAGGAGCAGCAGCTTCCTAAAGGTTTTGCTTCCCCAGGTTCACGGGCATCTGCACAATATGTGCAACCTTGACCTGCAATGGCAGGTTTCCTAAACAGACTGCTACTGACAGCATCTTTATTTCTGCATGTCATATGGGCTTTGGAGTGCAATGGTAGAAGTTAACCTGACTATACACGGATTCCTCAAGTCACCGATGTTAGAACTCCTCTTAACATTAAAGGGGCCAGATTTAATCCACAACATGCTTCTTTCTCCTACAGAAACATACTAATGTACATGAACAAAAAATTCACAAAGGAGTAACAGCCTTGCATCTATCTTTTATACTTGATCCCAAGACAGAATTTTCACTTTGTCTTATCTAAGTATGATTAGTTCACTCTATAGTAGCTTCTGAAAAGTTGATTTGGTTCCTTATGCAAAAGGCATAAGAAAGTAAACAGTTATCTACAATACTAGCAGGCGTGTATTAAGTAGGAATTACATAAAGGTACTGAACTATAAGTATCTCCACAGAACTTGAAGTGAAAAACTCAACTGACTTTTAAGCAGAGCAAAGACAACGGAAGACTACAGAAAACATATGCATTACTATGCTCCCTGCAACATTACCAGAAACCTCAAGAAACATTCTATACTAGAACCGTTAAGCTTGCAATACCTAAGGCAACAATCACTTTTTATCCAGCGCTACCAGGTCTTAGGAAAAAGAAGACCCAAACAACTATTTTGGTCAGACTGCTTATCTTCAGTATTGCATTACCTCTGATTTTATGGAAGTATGAATGAAAGTTTCTATAATGAATTCTAAACTCCAGATAGTCACGAGAGAGATATAATGTAATTAAAGCTATATATTATTTTTGTTTTAGCGTATTATATACCTCCAACCAATCTTGAAAGGAAATGCTTACTATGAAAGGCAATAATTATGTAAAATTTTGCCTTGGTTGGAATCTTACAGTGAAATTTGTTGTTCCATAGACACTTACATTATTTTTAACTTCCTTTTTACGGAGGCTTTATTAGAAGAAATGTAATCTGACCAGAAGCCATTTTCCAAAAATAGCTAGTAACCCAAATTCCAATCTTTAGGGAAACCATAGAAAAGTGCAATCACAAAGGCTGTGATGCTTTTAAGCAATATTAGCAGAATCTATTTAGAAGACTTAAAATTACTGTTTTGAATTACCGTGTTCCACATCTCTTGTTAAAGGTAATTAATCTTCATTCACTGCAAAAGGGCTGTTGCACACTCATGAGTGAGCTATACCTGGACCCATGAGAAGCTTATCAAGAAAAAGGTAGTGGCCCAATCACCACTTTTCTAAATATATTTTCTATACAAAATATTTTCAAGGTATAATCCTTAGTTATTTGTACAGTACTCTATGATTTAAACAACAATATTCAGTAAAATAGTAAGTGTGTGAAACTGCAACACCACATGGAATGAGCACTCTGCCATTTTGCTAGTGTAATCAATATTAGGACCAGAAAAATTTTCTAACACGCAAGCAAAAATATTCCATAGTTTTTGAATCTTGACTGTACACTTCATGATTTTGGCTATGATTTGCAGCACACTCGTAAGATACACAAATATCTTATGCACATTTCAGTAGCAGAATGGCACTTGGCTTGCTCTAATAGAAACAACAGAGATGCAACTGACAATTTTAAGAATGACAATGTCCTTATTTGCATGCTGAAAATCTGGTTGTGTCCCCCTAATCCAGGCACATCCATTCATTGTGCAATCTGTCGATGGGTAAACAAATAGTGCAGGATTCATCTCAGTGGGATCTGGCCCTTTGGTCTAACCGAAGTCAATTCTAGGTCGATACTGAAGTACCATAGGGTAAGACTAAAAAGAAAAGCAAGAGAAAAACAACAACAAAAACAGACAAGAAAACATGAAGACATAATTCATAAAAAATACAAAGAAAATGCAATTAAAGATTGCCTTAAGAATAGCCAGAGCTTATCCCTAAGACACACGTATATGGCAATCAGTTTTATTTGTAAGAAATAATTCTATACATTTCAACAGTTAAATCCGTACTTGTACTTCAAATCTATGTTTAATCTCTAAGTCAGTTAGTTGTAGTTATTTGTCATTAATACAAAATTCCTGTATCTGCTTTTATATATTTCATGATTTATATGTTTTATGACATATATCCTACAAGTGGTCAAACAACTCCTCTTATTTCTGTGTTGATGTGTTTGAGGAAAAGCAATCTTGAAATTTTAGACCTTCTGAAACAAAGTCCATTTATAGATGATGTACTTTGTTTGATTTTTATATATACAGAGGTTCTATAGCTATACTAGTGGTCAGCACTAGTTAATGGGAGCCAGGCTACTCTGGTATTAAAAAGAAGAAAAAGAAAAAAGATCAGGTCAAATTGCTGTCAGCCGATTTTCTGAGAGATGAGGGCTAACTTCTCCCCCAAATCCAAACTCGTCTACTTCAGATCTAGTGATACATTTTTCTTAGTTCTTACTGGAAAAAAAGTAGCAAATCAACTGCTCGGATCCCTGAATTGGACAAAACTGTTGTGGAACGGGGGGCAAGAGCGGGTGGGTTTCCAGAAAGTGCCGTGGAATCCCCGGGCACTCATTGCTGGAAGTTCTGTTTTATTAAATGTCTTATTTTTTCAGTCTGTCAGCATTTCATTTAAGTCTGATGTTTTCCTATTAACTTCATTAGGATACTGGACGTTTTCTATAGCACAAAGCCCAGGAAAATCTTATTGTCTCAGCAACCGTATGCGCTTAATTACCTCTCTGCCACAGGGCAGAAGAACATTACTAATTTAAGTCTTTTTTTATTGCAAATTTGGAATTATAAGGAATTATTACAGAAGCTATCATTAAAACCAGAAATATTTTACTGCATCCTTCAAATGCAATACAGATGAACTTCAGTGACCAAAAAAAGAAAGATATCACTGCAGAGACCTATACAGGTTAATAAACTTTCCATGCCATGGTAGTGAAATGATCACCACAACTAATGTGATCATACTTGCTGGGGATTTACAAACTGGAGTGCAGAGAAATCAAAACATAAAACCAGAGGTATTCAACAGTAGCAGGAGCATTTAGGAGAGAAGACAGGGAGCACCATGTGTAGTCTGCATGTGCAATTAACAAACATATATTTGTAGCATCATAAATTACTTGGTCTCCAATTTTTTTTTGCATAGGATATGACTACCGTATTATTTAAATGCTATTTCACATGTTTTTCTACTTTGATTATACAAATTGTCTCCAGAAGTACTCAACTCTAATTGGAAGTGTACACAGGCAGAGACAGAGCGGTCACCTTACTGAAATTGCCATGTAAACCAGCGAGGCTCAGTGTTTTTTTGCAAGCGAAATTACAAACCAACTGTATAAATAAAATGCACTATGCCAGAACAATTCTAATTATTGAAGTAGGCATGACTGCAGTAGGGCACTCCCATCCATAGTGGGGAGTGACCCTCTATCATTAACTTCAATTTTTTGCTCAAGCAAAAATATTATTTCAAGCTTCCAAAGTGACTTTTAGAAGTTAGTTCAAATCAAAATTCTCAATGAAGAAACTGAAATATTGTTTCACATAGGTATGAACCAGTTTGATCAATGAAATTTAGAAATCCACTTCAGTTTGCAGGTTCTGGAGGTTTTGGTTTGTTACGTTCTGAAGATAAGGCATTATTCCATTTCTAATTTTAAAAGATGTGAAAGGAATACAGTAGTAGAAAAATCTAACATTTCTTTACTCTATTAAAATGAACGTATGAATTGCCATAAAGAGATGAAACCAATGTAGTCTCTTTTGATTCACCCTCTTCAGTTTTGATCCCTTGTCAGTGACTGCCCAATGCTACTAGCTAGAAGGATGAGATAGGAAGAGGTAGATAATCCTTCCAGACTGATGCAGGCATCAGCCTACGGAATGATACCTAACAAAAAGATAAATGGCTTAATGTAAAATGAAAGAAACGCCTGAACTTTGGAATGGATTCTATTTATTCATTCAATAAAGCTTTCTCTGAACGAACGAAAATGCTCAGGTCTTGCTCATAGAGTTTTAGCACTTTGTAGCGAGGAATTATAAAAACTCCACAACCTGGATTACAATTGAAGTCCTGACAGGACCTTAATTACTGTAGTATGTACAGTCGTGAGTGCCTCTTACCTGATAAAAAGTGCCATCCTGTGTGCAGACTTGCGAAGATGAGCAGTTCTGACACCGAAACTGCGAAGGAGATGATTTTCTGATCAGATAAGAGGCATCCACAACTGGACATATACATTTACCATTTAATGTTTTTTTTTAATTTTCAAATGTAAAGCTTAAAATTAATTTACTTATTTAAAACAGGAAAGAATTCTCTAACGAATAAATGGATATTTTCCCTTTACTACTCTACCTCTTGTAAGGTCCACAGGTGTGCCAGTAAAAGCTCATGGTGAATAGTACCAAAGACGGAGATAATGGATTTACTTTATCTTCATCCAAAAGAAGAGATTGTTAATTAATTACCATTGCAACTTCTGTTTTATAACAAGACCCAACACAGTTAGGGAAAACAAAATCATAAAAGCCTAGATGTTACTGGATTTATTACCAGCACAATGTAATTTTTACAGGTTTTAGTTTGTCATCTCTGACTTCAGGGAAGTGATTTAAAACTACATAAAGGAAAAGATGAACACATACTTGACTATACCACGTGTATGTAAACACAACTTACAAATTTAATCAAGAGTTGTCAACTCTTATATTCACTTAGTGTTAAAAACTATAGTTCTGACATTTTTGAAAAATTTTAACTACAACAAATAACGTCCTTTTTGGCAAGATGATAGTTACTGTTGCTTCCAAAGCAATGCAACTGCCAAAAGTCCATTTGTAGGCAGGGGCTACAGAATTAAATGTCATGAAAGAATTCCATTATCACTACAGTTGTTGCCTTAACATTTCCTAATAGTACAGCCAATGCTAACAAAAATATAAGATGGCAAGCCAAACAAACATCCACTGGTTTCAAGGCAGTATTGGAAAAAATACTACTTAAAGCTCTCTTATTGGTGCAATATTGGGGTTTCAGCAGTCATCAAATTTCAGTGCAATATTACTTTCAAATTTAATGAATACTTGCCTATATACATTTACTTCCCTAATTCCCATCAAAATCTATCCTCTCCCCTGCCCCCTTCAGATTAAGCTAAAATTTTAAGGAGCTTGTGAATTGTTAACTTCTCAGTGTGCTTAATCCTCTGTCTTCTCTGTCCGTGCCCCAGTGCTTTTTATTCTGAGTACTAGGAAGCTTAAAAAGAAAAAAAAAAAAAAAGAAGAGTATAGAAAGTTTGGAATTTTCTAGATCAATACATTAATATATGTTAAGTGCTTAACCTTAGCTGCACTCCAATATAGCCTCCACTGGTAGCGATAGACAACAAATCTGCATATACTACAAAGCAACAAAGAGTGAAGAACAATCAACAGCCATACACAAACGAATGTATAAAAGAAAGAGAAGAAATGGGAATATGACTTTTAACAAAAAAAATTAAATATACAAGACAATATACGGGCTACTAAATCAAACTGAATATCGGACCTGAAAGAAATGTCTTTTAATAAGTTAAATATTGCAATTCTGAAATATACACATGTGGCAAGGAAAATCCATTTAGCTGTGTTATCTGGATGTTAGTGTTATACAGCATATCTAAAAAAAAAAAATGGGTGTAGTATTAACAGAAGCAGTAATAAAACAATTAGATTTCTCCAATAATTTTTCAGTGCCACTTTCAGTTTACTACTGAATAAAACAGACTCTTAATAAAGAGCTGCTGGATGCAGAGTCCCCAACTATGGTAACTCAAAAGGTCACTAAAAGCAAATTTGCAGAAAAAGAGTAAGTGCTTGGGTTTTCAGATACTCCACTTAAAACTCAGAGCAGAACTTGCATGTAAACTTTGTATACCTGCTAATTTTAAGTTTCAGAATCTGCACAATATACATGCTGCAGGGTTTCACTGGTAGGGTTTAACATAAGAAATCCAGAAAACATGCAAAATGCATTTTTAAATAAGGGTTTTTTGAAGGCTCACAGAATGTATTTTGGACCAAGCTGTGAAAGCATGTATACTCTCTATAATAAAGATATCAAAACATCATTTATTAATAATGTAACAGCATTTACGTTTTCGCCTCTTAGTCTCCATCTCGTCATATAGATGAATTCCATAGTATGATCCTTCCCCATGATTTCTCCATTGCATAGTACATCCAGCTTAAAATACAACAGAACAAACAGTAAGACAAAGGGATGCAAAATTTTAATGTCTAAATGAACTCTTATGTGAATCTCAGAGTTAATGCCTCAACTTCTATCATTATACAATAATTCTATCAGACATGTATATCAAACCTGGATAAATACAACACAGTGACAATAAACTACACTGCTATTTTTAATGGTAGTGTTCCACTTTATTTTTTCACTTTTGTGTTTTCAATTAAACACAAAAACACAATTTTTTTGCCTACTAAACTAGGTAGGCAATCACTAGTAGACAAAAACTCCCTGTATTTATCAATACTACGTGCTACCTGCCTGAGAGAAAGCCTTGTGCTGTATTTTGAAGGCCTTCTTGCTATGTCAATGCTCTTTCAAACCCAAAGATACAAAACAGAAGTACTGTAATTTTCATTTTTTTAAAAATAAATGGTAATTGAAAAAAATTACTTTAAAAATAACTATAAATTACAAGGAAAATGCACTTCTGAGTATACAAACATGATTCTTCATTAACTGAAGGCAAAAAAAAAAAAAGTCATGATCTTACTGTGAAAAACGACTGGTTTAAACTGTATTATAGCATCTAACTTCTACCCTCCACTGAAAATGTTTGAAAATTCTTTCATTACTATAGCCATAATGCTTTTCTGTTTTTTAGAGGGAAAAAATGTCAAAATTCTGAAGTAAGCAGACACTATGTAACACAAGCCATTAAGGTACCAGAGACAGATTAAATTAACATAATTAACAAAACCAAATGACATCAAAACGGCTGGTCAGCAGGTTATGATATTGTGACAAACTCCTGCATATAGGTCTGCAATAACCTGTGCACCTAGCCTAACTCAGCCCTACCTCTGACCAAAGCCGGGATGCTGCCATTTGTGCTAAAGGCAGCCTGCAGTTCATTGGCTCCTGTAACAAAACTGGCTGAAGGAATAGTCGTGCTGAGGTCAAAATTCCTGTATCCCTGGGAAGAGGGAAAGCAGAGGCAGGAGTCTCACACTTCCCAACTCCACCCTGCATCACAACTTCTATCATGTTAGGAAGTCCCCCGAGGGAACAGTCTTGGCCAAGATCAAATCACTCATGGAGCAAAGACCCTCTCTCCATCACATTCCACCTAATTCCCGAGAAGGTGCAAAAAAAGTATCTGCATTTTGAAAGATTCAAATGGTACTTCTTTAGATGTAAGAAACTCTTCAGTAATTATGAAGAAAAGGAAACTGCAGAGTAATTTGGTCTACATCTAGTTGATCTCTCCTTTTCCCCAGTAACTACTAGCCCAAAACTGTATTAAGTGACTTTTTTATTAGCCACATGGAAAGAGAAAGCATTTGTTTTTTACATAAAAATATCAAAACCTAAAGTATCTGTTCCTTCACAGGTGAGCAACAAACTGAAGTTACTAGAAATGTACGAGTTCCTTGATTAGCAACTTTAGTCACTGTGATAAAATGATCGCTTCTCATTTAAGGGCAGAAAATATCACTTGGAATATTGAACGGTACTTAGTGATTGGGCTAAAAAAGTTCAAATATGATTAAATTTCACAAAAACCTAATACTTTGCAGGGAAATAAAAATACAAGCATCGCTCTTTCAAATGTACCTCATAAGAACTTGGAAGTTTTAATTTTAAGCTGAGAAACTTTTTGATAGTTCCCACGGTCACTCGAGTAGAACAGCGGATAAATTTCTTCATTAAACCCTAAAGCAACAGCAACACAACAGAAAAACCACGTTAGAGATTTTGGAGCATGTAAGCAAACTTTAGTGCAAGAACAGCTGTAATTGATTATTTTTTTTCAATCAGTAACCAATTTTACTGCACTCTCTTATAATTCATAATGGCACCATAGGTTCATTCTTGTTCACTTTTTTGCAAAATTTACAAGATGACAAACAAGTTCATTTAACCCATCTCTGGTTCTAAAGAAATTTCCAAAAGATACAGAAGGGAGGAAAGAAAAAGAAAAAAAACCCAAAAGCCCCAGAAGAACTTAAATAATCTAAGTGTCTGTGTTAGTAACATCGGGGGTCAAACAGATGTTAAATTTCTTAGAATTTCTTCAGTCCTTGAGAGAAAAAGGAAGTAAAAACATCCTGAAATAATCTAGGTAAAATACAGGGAACCTACAAACCTGAGACGTGATCTATTATCACAGATTCTGTGATCTAGAACCTAACAGTTTTGATTCAACAGCAAAGCTGGAAACCTGAGACTCCTACATCATGATGGAGATACAGATTTCATACTGTATATAGCACAAACAGACAGTGATAACACATACATATGTTTTCTTGCTGAATCAAAACTTTCTTACTGTGTAAGAACTTCCAAAATTATACAGGTAACATAACACACAGAAAATATAAGTAGAGTTTTATTAGACAAATTTTTAATATTTCTTTAATTCTTGTCTTTGTAATTTAAGAAAACATTATTAAAATCTACAAGCATTTCTAAACACTTTCTTCTAGCCTCGATACCATTAGGTAATCTTCCCTTCACAAATAGAAACCAAATATCCCTAATTCTTAAAACAGCAGTTAGCACGTATTACCCTACACGTTTTACAGATGGAAGTGACCTGCCCACGGCCACAGGCGACACATCAGTGTCAGAATCAGGTTTACAGCACAGAAGATCTGGATCCCAGTCATTCCGTGCACCATGTATCTGAAAAGCAGCTTCATGCTGGCATGGTAAGACAGCAATCCTGAAAGTGTGAGGCAGCTCACCTACAGCTAGCTTTTTAAGTACCTCTGTGGTATGCTGTAATTGGTCGTGTAATGCAGTTATATACCATCAAGGCTGTAGACTACAAAACTATAATCCACTTTAAAAAAAAAAAAAAAATCCACTGTCACAGATGGATTTCTGTATGGAATTCTGTTTTTTACAAAATTCCAAGATGCATTGAAATGTTTCAAACAAAAGGACTAAATAAGCATGGAAGTGGAGACAGGTCACCACATTACAGTTTATTGTTAATGGTTATAAAAGGATTTGGTTCCTGTAAGATGCTATTCTGCCAACAATAACAACAGCACAGATTATCTTTACTACTCACTTTGACTACATTGTCTCCTGACTGCCCATTGTTGCGTAAACAGTCAAGGCAAATAGCAATCTGTGGGTCACTCCTGTGATAGTCTTTATCTTCTTCATTTTCATCACACTCCTCATCTACTTTGGGTTTATCAGCTTTTGGGCTTTCATCTGTAAAATGTGAAGATCATATTATTTAAGTGTAAAATAATTAAAAGTCACAGTAGCAACAAACACATATTTAAAGTAATACTTCATTTTCAAGAGCATATTTTTTCTTCAAATTAACTTTATACAATTTTAATTCAGTGCATTCTTAAATTGATCAGTTTACAGATCTCTGAAAACAAAGTTTTACTACTGAAATTTTAACGTAATATGCAAACAACAGATTTCTATGTGGCAGAAAATAATGAGGCAGATGGACCACTAACGCTTACGGCTGTCAACTTCCGTTTGTGTCCAGTGATTAAAACACTGCAACTGCGCATGCATCGAGATCACTCAATCACAAACACCTACTCTATGGTGTGGCAGTTCACTGCCAAAAAATATTGTTTTTAAATAAACAGTGGAATAACTAATCCCAACACTTGTATATTGAAATAACATGGGTAATCGATTCATATTAACTGTCTGCCGCAATAACCCAGTGGAGACAAGTTCCTGAAATGTTATCATGAAGTAAACTAAGGCAAGGTAAAACTTAACTTTCATCCACTTTTGACCTGGTCTAAGTAGCGTCATTGTAAAAACTCCAGAAGGATTTTGTAACTAAATAGCCATATATTTACTTATTCCCCTTTAAAAACAAAAAAATATAAGAAAACAGGAATGGTCCCCATATTTTTTGGCAGAGCACATATAGCCTATATAATCACATATATCATGTTACCTCTCTTCACTGATGCTGTTACATGTTCTATTGATTCCTGGTTTAAAAATCTAACTCTTTGGAAAAGGTACCATCTCCTACAGTTTTCAAAGGTTTAGCATAGTTGAATACTCAAATGCTAAGACCAGCAAGTACATCTAGATAAGGCTGCAATGTATGTAAATAATAACCATACAATGAACCATAAAATGGAGTAATTTTTACAGATTTGGAACACAGTATACAATAACCTTATTATGTACATGTTTTTTTCTGTTACTTATTTATTTTGATTTAAAACAAAGGCTGCTCTCTGTTGGAATAAAACATTATCACAAGTAACTTGAATAAGCTACTTTTGCATTTCCTGAAAAACTTTCAGATCAAATTCTGCTGTTTTCCTACACTTACCACAAACATTAAGTCATTTAGAAGAGTTAAGATGAGAAGATAGAATGAAAACTTTAACAAATATCAAGCTATGTCTAAGTTTCTAGACACAGTAATTAGTTCATTTAGTTTACGTATTCAAGATGAGCTTTAAGCTACATTCATTACTTTTCTTTCGTGCTGTTTTGAAGTATTTTATGATTACAAAAGATTTGTCCACAAGTCCCTAGTAGCTATTGACACATTTAGTTGAATGTGCATCATACATACGTTCTGTTCCTATCATCTTGATAGGAACAGAATTTACAGTATCAAACTACAGATTTTTTTTTTTTTTTCTTTTTGTGAAAATCCAGGAAGCAAACTCTCTTAATCAAGCAGGTACGGTCTACCCGTACCCAAGCATTTGTCTGAGGAGTCTGCCTATGATTCAGAGATTCTTTGGCAATGCAAACACATACACAACTTTCAACAGTTAACGACTGCTGAGTAATGGAGAAAGATTTAGTTATGCAGTTTGAAAAGTCTTGAAAGGCAAACCAACTACAGAACTAGGGAAATTAGCAACTTTCCAATCATAAAATCATTCCAGAAACAGCACACACACAAAAAATGTCACATCTTTCAAGATATTCTGATAGAAATTCAAATGCTCCTCTGTGTAAATCGCACCACACTATTTACTAAAAAATCCTTGTAGATATTAGAATTAATGATGTTTGTACAGGCAGCCTCCAGGAATCAATGTGATGGTCCCTTAGAGGCAAGATATTAAAGTTCAACATGATACAAGTTAAAAAAAAAGAAAAAAGAAAAAAAAAAAGAAAAAAAAAGA